AATTTGCTGAGTTGGAAGGAGTCCTGAAGTAACCTAATGAATTGAGAATAACATGCTTACCTTCGATCTACAACGCGAGCGCAGAGATTGTAAGTGAAGTTGCCATTTTGGACGCGCGATCTCATCTGAACTGACAAACCGTCAAAATGTCCTACGGAAATGGCGACCTCACTTTTATTGTAATATGTGCTGGTAAAATTGAGGAAAAATAGTAAGCGAAATTGAATCAAAAGGCATCATTAAGTATGATTAAGATAGAGTGGGTCTGGTATAATGACAAGTTTATGCTATAAAAGGTCACAAATGACCCAGAGAGCGATTATGAGCGATGTATAAGAAAGAGTGAAAGCAAAAACATCGAAGAAAAAGGCACCAATCAACAGAAAGCAAACACCAAGAGAAGACGACTATTTCGCAACATCACTATCATACACGCATGCGGCGTGCATCGGGGCAAAATCGCAGTAAAATCCGGTCAAAACCAAATTCGTGTCTCCCGCCGGTGCACCGGGTTTTGGTGCGATCAGCCGTTTTGTGGGCGGTCCACCTGCGGGTGACAACGGCGAATGTCTGAGTTTGCGGGGAGCGACGGGGCGACCGTCGCGGCGATTCGGAACTGCTTTTTCGATGTTTTTGTAGTAAGTTGCTGTTTTTTGCACGTTGAGTGTTTTTGCATGAAATGTTGCAAATGCCAAGTTATGCCTATCCTTGCTTTGTTTGATGAGGGCAGTTAGACTCATTTTGCATTTTTTCCTGTCTTTCAATATATCTACATATATTTCCCTATATCTCATATCCTGGGCTGCCAAAGAGATCTGTAACAAGCCCTACCCTGTTCGATTGCGCATCGAATACTTGAAGAATGTGCTCACAGTCTACGTAACTCCGAAATATGAGCTTTGCATGAGATGATAACAGTACTTTCGTCTATCATGTGCAGCACATGGGGGACGCTTCTAGAGCTGAAAACATCGTTTTGCCACGTAACGGTTCCTTCGGAGTGTCCGCAGCCACTGGGCCTTGCTGGTATATACTTCTTCCCTATTGTGATTAATGCTTCCCAACATTCATTTGATTATGAGCCTTTTACCAGAACCACGATGTCGTTGACTTCTTTTATCGTTGATCATTTTGGTGCATATCGTTGTGATTGTTATCAAGTCCGATTCTAATGTGATAAACTTCCAAACTTCCTTTGTCTGCTGCTACACCTTTTTTGAATAACAGTGATGTAGTAAAGTTAACGAGAGCATTGATTTTCACTAATGAATTAGAGTACATACGTGCAATGTGTGAAGTGTTGTGCAATTGCATGAAATCGCTCGGGAGTATGCACACACCCCCGGCGACTGAGCGACTCAGTCGTCGCGTCCCAATCGCCACGACTCGAACGCGCGACTTCGTCGCGTGAGCCCCTAATACTGCAGTGATGAAGAGAGTTTGAGTTTGCTATATACTGTAAAACTAAGTTGATGCTATTATAGTTCTACGAAATGATGCCTAAAGCTTCTCGAAAGATTTCATGAAGAGAGAGTTATTAACAATCAAACAGTATTCTGATAATTTTTTGTCCCTATAGACAAGGCGGCCAGCGGCGACTACGGTCTGCTGCGGGCTGCTAGCGGCAGCTGCGGGCGCGGTGTGAAGGCACCCTAAGGCAGTTTTGAGATTGGCGTTTATTTTTTGATCATTTTGATACATGACACATTCCGAAAGGCGACGGTAAAAATGAAAGCTTGCATCAGTCTTCATCCGCTTACCCTTAAAAGAGCCTGCCTTTATAAATGTTAGTAATGTACATTTCCGGAAGATTGCGGTTTATACTGCTGGAGTAAAGCAGATTATCCCCTTAACATTCGAATGGCATAAAGATCCAACCCTTGCTTACCCTCAGCTTATTTCCTCGACACTTGAAAACAAAAACTAAATGTAAGAGGTTTCGACGATGCAAAATGCGGCGCTATTCGGCTATCCGGGCCCCAAAATTTTTTTGTCATGGATTTCGCTCAAACTTGGCCCAGAGGGGTTATCTGACGTGCTGATCACGAATATCACCTTTTCTCCGCAGGAAAACGCCTCCCTGCAGGGTTACGGTAGGTATACGGTAGAGGGTCAAGATCATGGATTTGGATGAAACTTGGCCCAGAGGGGTTATTCGGCCTGCTTACGCCGAATATCACATTAGTTCTGTACCGTAGCGTCATTTTCTCGGGTTACGGTGGGTATACGGTAGGAGGTGAAAAATCTTAAAATCCGCTGTAACTTCGCACAGAGGAGTTATTCGACATGCTGATTAGAAATGTCACACTTTCTCCGCACGAAAACGTGTTCCTGCATGGCTACGGTAGATTTACGGTAGGGGTCAAAAATCACAAATCGGCGAATGTATCTTTCCCCTGTCTTTGCTTAGGCAAAAGCCGCAGCAGGGTGTGTAGCGCGCGGCGGTGGTCGTGTGTGCAAAGCTTCACGATCGTCCAAATCGCCGTACACCCGTTTCAGGCAGAACTATGTTTTACAACCGTTACCTTGTAGCAACCGTAACTTGAGAAGATGACGCTACGGTTCAAGACCAATGTGATATTTGGCGTCAGCGGGCCGAATAATCCCTCTGGGCCAAGTTTTGGGCAAATCCGTGATTTTGACCCCTCACCGTAGTCCTACCGTAACTCCAGCGGATGTCGCTGTCCCACGAAATAAACATCATAGTCGTGTTCAGCATGCCAAATAACCCCTCTAGACGGAGTTTCGGGCAAATCCGTGATCTTGACCCCCTACCGTATGCCTACCGTAACCCTGCAGGGAGGCGTTTTCCTGCGGAGAAAAGGTGATATTCGTGATCACCATGTCAGATAACCCCCCTTTGCTAAGTTTGGGCGAAATCCATGACAAAAAAATTTTGGGGCTCGGATAGCCGAATAGCGCCCAAAATGCTTCGCAGGTTGAACATTCTCGGTCGAGATTAACACCTGGGAGAGTGCTGTGCGAACGGAGTTGTCCGTACAACGGAAGGTTTGAAGGTTCTTGCACATTTTTCATTTGCAGATGTCTTTCCGAGCAGTGTTTCAAGCTTGAGCACAGTACACAAGAGGGGACGAAGAAGTGTTCCATAAAGAAGCGCCGCAAGGAAAGGTTGGTAAAGAGCACTACGATAAACTTGAGCTGTTCCTGAAAAACGCTTATTCCCCAACCTTTTCTAAACGACTTTTACTTTTCGACCGCACCCTCCCGCTCTGATCCCTCCGACGACCCCCCCCCCTCTGCGCATGCCGCAACCCACGCTCCCGCGAGGGGCGCGTTTGACTACAGCCTAGGCTCAGACACTCGCACCGGCCGGCGACCGTCCGACGACGGCCTTGCGGCCGGCGGCCGCGCCAACTTTTAGGGCGGGGCTAAAAACCGGCTGGCGTCCGGCCCGCGGCCGGCTCGGCCGAAATATCGGTGATGTTCCAGACGCTCGTCGGACGGTCGCCAGCCGGTGCGAGTGTCTGAGGGCGTGGAGTAAGCGACATCTGTAGTTACACCAACTTCTCATTTTTTACGTCCGGCGGCTGGGTTATCTCAGAGCTTCGGACCGTGCGAGCGCACCGCCAAGGTCAGTCGAGCGCGCGCCGGATTTTCGGGTGGCCCGGCGATCGGGGCGCGCTCGCACGGCGTGTAGGGCGCGCTTGCTTGGCGCTGGGTGGCCGCACACACGGCACCAAAAATTTTGAATACTTGTTCTGGAGCATTTTCATTGCTTATTTATGTGTAGTGGTAGGTAGTGTGCTAACAATGACTTTGAATATTTATTTCTGCATTCACAAGAACATTTTAACAATAAGAACATTATAACATATTATGACAACCTTAAAACATCACTATAACAACATTATAACATTACATTATAACAAGTGAGCATAACCTAGGAGACATAGCGAAATCTACAAAGTATATTGAGAAACTGTGTTCTTTTTATCTGAACAGACAATCAATCGCACAGTGGCTAGATGCGGTATACAAGAACGGCACGCGAGTTAGACACAATACAAATTGACTTGCATACTAAATCCGAAGCAGTACTCTTGGAGAATTCTCTCGATATATGTGCGAGATGAATGTGATGTTAAATCAGTTCAGTCTGCGGCTTCCACTTGAGTTCTGTGACCAGTGCTATGCAAGGACATTGGTTCGTTCTTCCTCGGAGCCTAAAAACGCATTTATACGCAAAGAAAAGAAACTAGCATTAAACAATTACCTTTTAGTTGGTGACTCTCATTTTTTGTCTCTGCATCTTGCTGGAAATACTTTATCACAATGTACAAGGATTTTGGAAGGCCATACCTGTTGTGCCGGATTCAACTATAGGGCTTTACAACCTGAGTGTCCCACCCGCCCCGCTAGGAGCCACGCTTAGGTCCGCGCAGCGTTCGTGGCGCTGGCTGCGCGTCGACTGAAGCTTGGCGAAATCCGGGCGATACGCAGCAAACGCCGCGCGCGGCCTGAGCGAGGCGGCCACGTTGGAAGAGCCGCGCAAGCGAAACTTGCGACTCTCAGGTTGAAAAGCCCTGTAAACATCCGAGCTAATCAATATTGAAGCGTCCATTTGGATAGCCATCAGGTCACCACACTTGAGGAAGGAAGGATGTCACACATCGTTATGTTAACAAACTGAATCCCTGAAATGGCCAGTAAAGTAGAAACATCGGATGAGAAATCATTGGATGTTATGTACAAGAAACAAAGGCAAACATAACAAAAGTTCACATTTGAACGATTTCAGTGAGAAGAAACTCCCATAAGAAACTTCAACACGGTAAAACACTAAAAAAGACCGAAAAGAAGAACTGCGATCGAATGCCCGTCAACAGCGTCGTGCACGAGCTACCACAGAAAAGAATGGCTGACCTCTCGTATGGCATGCGGCGCGCTCGCACGGAAGCTTGCTCCGCCCCTGTATTTGGGCTAGCCGCTCGCACGGAAGCCCCAAATTGCGGCGCGCTCGCACGAGGCAAAGCCCAGAGATGTGTTGAGGTCTAGTCGGCAGTAAATATATTAACGCTTAGCTAGTATTAATCTACTTTTACTTTCGTTCCGAATCTGGGCGCTTCGGCTGTTCCACTATGAGCGTGGAACCGTGTGTCGACACTCCTCATCAATCGGAAAGTCATAGTTTACTGGAAGAGGATACTGCACCGAATGACCATGAGGTAAGACTGTCCTTGCAGCTTTCTTGCTTCCTCTCTTACTGCTCATTCTCTAATTTGTGCTTCCCATGCTCTTGAGTCCATCTTTCTTGTTAATCTGCCTCTTCATATTTTCATGGCAATCAGTTTCACAGAGGTTATTTTTAATTAAACTATTTCTGGTGTTTAACACGTTGACGACCGCGCCGTTTTGGACGAAACTCACACTAACGTCCTTCGCGCATTTGGCCCGTGCATACGCGCGGATGCACGAAAACATTATGTGGGAGTCTTTTTGGCACTTATTCATAAAACATGCAAACTTTGTTTAGACATACAGGTATATTACAGAGAATTACCAGGACTTACACAAATCAAGGTTTTTGCATCGATTTCCCCTCCAATAAACTATGCAGTAGCTATATCTGAGGAATCCCTCTTTGAGAAAAGCGCCGTAATACTTAGTGTTTTTGACTGATTCATCCTTGTTTGATTTCAAAACAGCTGTACAGAGTTTTTACCTTCTCGGAAATACGTAATTAGCATGTATTGTCTACATCAAAAACGGACTCATTACCCAATTTTGCGGTGAAATCTTCTGAACAGCTGCCGCGGTGCCCTGTGTTCTGTAAGACAATCAGGCCACTAGTAGTATTACTGCATAGAAGCTACCTTAAAACTTTTCGTTTGCACCTAAAAAACTAGCGTGCATATGCGCGGATGCACGAAAATGCTAAACGGGAGTCAGGGCGTGCATACGCGCGGATACACAAGGTCGTCAACGTGTTAATCTATCATAATGGTACGCTCACTCACTTCACAATGATGGAGAGGATGATTATGTGTTTTACGGATCAGTCAAACAGTCTTCGTTTCTAGGTTGAGGATGCAGACGACCATGATATCGTAGTAATGCTTGAGGACGGCGATTTGCAGCTGAAGCATCGAGAGAATCCTGAGATACAGAGTCCGATGAGAAGCATCAATGTACGTTCCCTTTAAACAGTTTCGACTAGTATAGACTGATGGATGTATTTTAGAGCGTTCTCAAAGAGGCGGAGAATATAATGACCGATGGTCCGTTACAAGCATCAACGAATAGGGAAAGGCAGCAAGTTATTATGGACCATGTCGACGTAGAATACAGGTCGGTAACCTCTGTTGCTGGGAAATATTCGAATTTTCGATTTTTTTTTGCAATTCAAATGTGCTAACAAATGTTTCCACCATAACTGAGTTGAAATTTCGAAAGATATATTGTTTGCGCGATCTTACTGGGTATTTTCGTACGCGCTTTTGTGACAGAAGGCGGGGTCAGGCTTTGAAGCGCTTTCAAAATGCGTTTCTTAAAAGAGGTGCGGGTTACACGTTGGTATCATGACGAGCCCGAGACGGCTGAGCCACAATTCCGCAGCTGTTTTCTTGTTGGAACTGCCACTTTTTGACAACCGAAGCAAGAACTGCGGCACTTGAGCGATGAGAATGAGATGGGGTAGGGATTACTATCGTACGGCGTTGATCCCTCACCACTTGTTTTGTCAGTTCGCTGTCACCAACAGCTCTCTGTAGGCCATAGAAATCAATTTGCTAAAAACATCACTTCTGCTTTGTTCGCTAACTTGTATTTTTTTAGTCCACGAAAAGTGTTCCAACCTATCGAAATAGTTGTGCGCCATCACAAAGTTGTTGAGCAATCTGCGAGTGATAGCGACGAGGAGGATGGAATGGGTGGTGGAAGATCCAATCAGTCTAGGAGGCTTTCGACTGTACATGAAGGTGCTTTTTCATACTCTCGTCTTTTTCGTATCATTCACGCCTCAAGCATCACATCAATTTTTTGAGTGTAATGATAATTTGAAAATCAGGTCTCATATAAAATTTCGAGTAGCTTTGTTCCTCTACCATTAATATACATCGCACGCTGCAGTAAGAAAATGCAATGTGGTTCTTGTATTTCAAGCGCGCTTTCTTATCAAATTCTTGTTTACTGGTTTTTTCCCAACTGTGCACTATACGTGGAACGTCATTGGTATATGACCTCAACAGCATCGTTTCTGCTGAGATTGTGTGCAAATGCCGATAAGATTTTGCTGGATAAGTTTAGGCAGATAGAATTGAGTAAGATGTAATCGATGTATACATCATACCTGGCAAGTCAGCTTATGAAGCGGTGGTGTATTCCGCCTTCATTGTTTAATCAGCTTACCTTATACGACTACTCGATAAAGCGGCCACTTTTGCGGTATCAGTACGCTGCCACGAGTTTACATTTTGAGGAAGCATTTGCTTGCAAATAACAAAGAGCGTTTGAAGCATTTGTGAGTTGGTATCGAATCGAAGCAAATCAACTTTTTATGTGTGCATTCGAGCGGACGCAGCTCATGGTTGCAAAGTGATAAAGTGTAGAGAACGTCTTTGTTTTTTCCGTAATTGGCTGATGAGAATTGAAGGAGTTGGTTCATCTTTTTTATTTCATGAATCATCTGTTTTTTTTCCGAATATGCTTTTAGCGAAATTGGCACCATGTTCGTATAAAAGCGAGTATTGTCGTTGCAGCAAAGCAGATTCGTTCATCAATCATTATCGTAATTTCTCGCTTGTGGCGACCACTTTTTTGTAAGATTTGAAGTCGCACCACTATCATGATCAGCGAAATCAGTGTTTTTGTGGCGCATGGTCATGTGACAAGGTTCCGCCGTTCATGTCTAGAATGCAAATTCGTTATAGATTTGATACTAAAGTTTCCGTTTGTCACAGTCTCCTGTTCACCTTAGTATATTGTGTCTTAGTGGATGCGGATTGTTCTTCTTTTTTGCTTTTTTATCTCATTTATCTCATGCAATTTGAGGGAAGGAACGTCTTACCCCAATGCAAGATGAGCCGTGTTCATCCAAGTCAAACAACATACCTGCAAATAATTTTAAACGTGGACATCGTCGTGCTTGGAGTATGCCGAGTGCTAAAGGTGAAAAAATGACGTTAGCTGTCATTCATGATCAAGAAACTATGGTAATGTATTTGCGTTGCACACTTGTCTTTGTTTGTTATGCATCTTTTTCCAGCAAGATGGAAATACTCATCACCGGCGAGTTGTCCGCTATCGTCTGCATCCTGCTAAGAAAGCACGGATGATCGCTGGGAAAGATGACAGTATCGAAAAAACCAATTTCGATACTCCTGGAATTCGATTTGATTTATCTAACCTACCAAATCCCGAAGATGATGACCACGAACTGGAGGTAAACTTTTCTGCATTCCGCTTTTGCTTTTTGCTTTTCTCGAAGATTTCCTATCTTCTTCCTTTGTCAGTTTAAATATCAGACATATTGTATACTTATGGTGATGTTGACAGCTTGGTCGTTACGTATTTTTGGCTTCGATAATTATATAAGGGTGGATAGTATAAGTATCTGAGAGTTTACTGCTGCGCATCTATTGCAAGACTGCACCATCTTATTGCAGTATTGCAATCATTTTATATCAAGTGGTTTTCGTGCTTCATCTCTCCGATCTAGAGCGATCCTCCTACAAGCAGTCCTATTTTTTTTCTGTGGGACGTGCAGCTGAACTCAAAGCTGCCAAAGCGTTCAAAGATGCCGTTCAAGCAGAGACTGATGTGGTGATATCTTGATGCAGTATTGTAGCGAGGCTCCCCAATTTCTACCACCTTCGCAAGCGATCACTTTCAAAAGATAGACTATATGAGTTGTCAAAGCAGATTTGAAGCAAGGCGGTCGGGCAATGACTCAGCTGGACTTCTCTCGCTCGCACTTTCAAAACCTCATCTTTTTAACTTTATTGCGATGCGTAAGGTGAAATTGCGTGCCAATCCGATCCTGTGATACTCTTTATCTGAAGTCAAGTCAATCCGAATTGCGCACATCTGGTTTTCTGCTCGCTGCAGTCCGCGATTTCTGCCTCATGATCATAGTTGACGTTCTGGAAGTCTGTGCATGTTCTGACGCGAGGTGCAAGCTTACCGTCTTCTTAGGGCCGCATGCATTAACCTCCCCGCGGGGAGGGGATCTCAGGTCAAAAGAAAGCTTCATATTTCGAAACTCCAGATACCTGGATTTTACATTGTGTACCTATCCGTAAGTATTCCTACTACCCTTCACTATGAACATGTTGAAGAGGAGCGAGAAGCTGTACGAACCGCATTTTCCAGCTTTTGTATGATCCCTGATGATCCCCGGCGCTTTTCTTTAAAGTCATTTTTCTTTCTCCGAAGTTGACGAAAACCTTCCAATGTTGTAGTGAACATCTAACACAATAGTGCTAAGCATGTTGCTGATAAGAACAAATGATGTTTTGAAGTCACGAAATTTTCGATGATCCATAGGTCGAAATTTGAGGTTTACTGAAAAATTCGACTTTTCAAAAACTCATTTGTTCTCATCAGCAACATGCTTAGCTCTGTTGTGTTAGATGTTCAGTACAACTTTGGAGGTTATACGTTAACTTTGGAGAAAGAAAAATGACTTTAAAGAGAAGCGCCGGGGATCATCAGGGATCATACAAAAGCTGGAAAATGCGGTTCGTGGAGCTTCTCGCTCCTCTTCAACATGTTCATAGTGAAGGGTAGTAGGAATACTTACGGATAGGTACACAACATGAAATCCAGGTATCTGGAGTTTCGAAATATTAAGCTTTCTTTTAAGCTGCGATCCCCTCCCCGCGGGGAGGTTAGTGCATGCGGCCCTAAAAGTCGGCAACGTGAAAAAAAATCGTACGTTTGCTAACGTAAAATAACTTCTTGGGTACATGGTGGTCACCGTGGGATAAATTCACTCAATTTCAAAGTTGTAAAAGAAACGAGAAAAGGTACACTAAGGGACCCGTTATACTTCCTCGAAAAAAGCCCAAAGGCGCCCGTAAAAAGCACAAAAAAGTCCCGAAAGCGCCAGAAAGAGCCGGAACGCAGAAACGAATTTTTGGTGGAATTCTGACATTATTTTGATGTACAGACGGCAGAAAATAAATTAAAAAGACTTGGTCTTGGCCACTTGGTCCAAATAACACACATGCCTTAGCGTCAAAACGTGCGCGCGGAAGGGGGCGTTCCCGGTCTTTCTGGCGCTTTTGGGTCTTTTTGGGCGCTTTGGGTTTTTCCTGGCGAAGTATGACGGGTCCCTAATCTGATAGGATACATTGATGTTTTTGGCCAGTTTTTGTCAGCTCTCTCTAGTGTATTTTGACGAGATATGATAAAGTCAGTAGGACTCCACTTTTTACGTCTAAATAGGTCATTTCATCTCAGCGGAGCACATTGCATCAGAACTCATGAGCAAAGATCGTTTTTGATTTAGGTAGAAATCAACGAAGAAGCGGTGACTATTCCTGGAGAATCGGGAAAAGGAGCTAGAACAGTCATTAAAAGAGTAAGCTCGTCTTTAGTCAATCTACTTTGAAAATTCCCACCCTTTTCAAGTTCTGGGAAGCTCGATGGAAGGCCACTAACTTTGAAGGTCTTCCTGAGTGGCTTCAAGATAATGAGTATCTTAGAACAGGTGAGCGTTTCCGCATCGGTTCTTGTTCTATCAATCGTGTTGGGACTAGTCATTTGATGGTTGAGTTTGATCTGTTCGTTCAGGGCATCGTCCTCCTTTGCCATCATTTAGTAGCTGCTTCAAAAGCATTTTCGCACTACATACTGAGACCGGAAACATTTGGACACACATGTATGGTGAGTGAACCACCTTCTTGCACTGAATAGAATTGAATTGTGTAGAAGCCAGTTTTTTGAGTGTGGTCTATCAGCGTAAAAAGTTGCTATTTGATTGATTCGTCTTATAACTTCCATGGGATTATGCATTTGAATGTTGTATACTGAATTTGAGAGTTGAAGTGTAGTTCATAATTACTGCGAGGAATACCAAGCTGCGCTGCTGATAATCTGTCCAAAAAACACATGCGATGCACTCAAAGTTTTTGTGGCGCTAGTCGTCGTTTCGTAGCCAAGGGAAGCTATAGTGTTTTGAAGCAGCGCACGCAACCGGCTAGACGCGCTAAAGACCGAAAAGACCTTTTAGCTATTCTGCCGGTTACCAAAACACTTTCTACTTTTATCAGCAGAACGATCTCACCTTCGGTTTTCCATCAGCCTCTAATGGCATCTGTGAAATTCTTTCACCAAGAAGGAAAGACTAATGAGAATTACGATTAGCTGAGTAGACCAGATACTAGCCTCTCTGCTCAAGCGCATAACTCTTTCCCTTCAGACTGTGTTTTGTGCGAGGAATTAAACGAGGCCTGTGTCGATGTTAAAGTAATGAAGAAGAGGTCGAGGTCCACTCATCAACAATCATTGGCGCAACTTTGCTTTTCTAAATCAAGAGTTGAACTGTGCGAAAAAGTCTATCTGACATATAGAGCTGCAGTTATAAAGAATCAGCCCTTTGTTCTCAACTAGTTCTCAGATCTGTTCAGAAAGATGCATGATGGTTCCGTTTTAGGTTGTGTGGCTTTCATCGGGGTTGCCCTGTGGTTTCTGACTCGTCCGAGTACTCAGATACAACTCACGGAAAAGCTCATATTTTCCAATTTCTTTGCCGGCGCTATACTATGCCTTGGCATGTCATTCCTGTTTCACACTGTTGCTTGTCATTCTGATTCTGTGGGAAAACTGTTCAGCAAGTAAGTTTAATGTGTAAGTCCCATTCTTGTTCTGGAAAACGCGTCATTTAGGTTGGATTATACAGGAATTACGATGTTGATAGTCGGTTCTTTTATACCGTGGCTTTACTACGGCTTCAACTGCCGTCCACAGCCGATGATTATATATATCACTATGATCACCGTATTAGGTGTACTAGCAATGATAGTATCATTATGGGATAAGTTCGCGGAACCTATGTTTAGGTGGGTTCCATTATTGTATGGATTTTTTTGCGTCTAGATAATTCTAATTATATATGTTTCAGGCCAGTCAGAGCGGGTGTATTTGTCGCTATGGGGCTATCTGCACTCGTTCCCGCCGCTCATATGATGTATGTGGATGGACTCGATTTCATGTATCACAAGGTAATCCTTGACAGAATCATGATGACATGAAGTCATCCAAGCTGGCTGAAGCGCTGCATAATAATGGTGACATCTGGAGTCCCTGGCCATGTTCTCCTTTTTGGGTTGCGTTAGATTGGGCTCGTGGTTCAAGTTTCTTTGCTAAAATGTAGTGTTACTGAACTCTAAGTGGTTCCTGGAAAACGCTTGCAATGCTCTCTTTCTTTTTCTCATATGCTTGAACCTTATTTCTAGCTCCTATCATTGAGGTTTCAAACACAATCCTAAACAATTTCTTCTCCAAATTTTGGCGTATCCCTGAACCGGAAAAAAGTTTAGATTTAGGACTAGTTAGTAATACCGAAGGAATCTACACATTGTGCTAACATTCGGAAGCTATCTAAGCTGACGGAGTACAAGAATTATAGGAGTTTTAGCGCAGGTTCAAATATTAAGAATCTATAACAATATATTGACATACCTTTGACAGTAGGTGGTGAATCACTGCAAATCTGGGCTAGTCGGAAGGAATCTGTACAATTTTGGATAGTCAACGATGACTTTGTTTTGAAAACGAATTTTAACTTGTACCGCTCTTGGCTCAAAAGCGAGTCAGTCTTAACTGCCCGTTGCGCTCGACTGCAGAGGCTGCATCATTTTGAAGGACCAAAATATCGAGCTTATCTAGGCGTCGCTTGTTTGGATGGTCTCTATGGGTTCTATGTACATTGGTGGAGCGGCTATATACGCAACAAGAATTCCAGAAAGATGGTTTCCTGGCCGATGCGATCTATGGGTAATTGTCCCCTGCAAGCAGTTATGATACCTGTAATGACTTTTTAGTTCCAATCACATCAACTGTTCCATACTTTTGTTGTCATAGCTGCTTTCACACATTTTCATGCTATTACCGAAATGACAATGATTAATCGCATGGAGGGATCTTGTGCTGAGAGATTGTTAGAGAGGTGCGGAATTTTTTATACTTTTTCTTGTACACACAGTATGGACTGAGTTCTAGGTACGGATCGGAATACTACCCTTCATTCCTGGGAACTCTATTAGGACTAGATGAGGATCCTAACATCAAATCCTGGACTCCTGACATGCGGCCTCCATGATTTCAGCAGTTTTTATCGAATGCAGTTGTTTTTGTATGCTCTATCATTCATTATTGTGCGTAATTTAATTATACAAAACATCATGACCTCCATTGAAAGTGATGTGATCTGGTGATTGGCAGCTGGCTATTTAGATCTTACGAATGTGCTCTCGAGATTTTATGCGGCTTATTTCCACCTTACAACCGTATGTCGATTTTTTAAATTATAATGAGACAGTGATTCGAAGCTCTTTCAGCTGTATTCAACATTTTCTACTTCAAAATCTTTGCTTATAAAACAAAAAATACATTTCGATAAATTTTTCTTTGCTTGTTTGTGTCTGACTTACAGCTACAGTAGACATTTTGTACTCGTTTCTACTTATTAGGTGTAATCAGTTGTTCGAATAGCGTTAAATCAGGTTATGGGACATTCGCACTTTCCATAAATGTGGTTCCTAGTCACCTCATTCACGTCAGTATTTTGCGTAACCTGGTTTTTTCTTTTCTTCCCATTCACCTGATTGCCACTTATTTCTTAGCAGTTTTGATTGTAAAAACTTCCTGGATAGTCCAATAAGAACTAAAATCAAATACGCGCAAATCAATCTCCGTTCATGGTATGGGCTTGGCAGGGCAGCTGCATATGTCCTTGTACATCAAAAACTTTCAGAAAACTGTGTGGTTTGAATTTCTAACTTCAAATGAGGGGTCTTGGATTTGGCATTCAGCGGTAGTTCGCAACTCCAAAAAAAAAACGAATCCGTTGCTTTTTCGTTTGTAATGGAGCTCTTTCTGAGAGCATGAATACAAATTTTGGTCCACTTGCATTCACTTGATATTTCCTTTAGTATCTTATATGAGCGTAAGTTGACTCAAAGTTTTCTCTACTAAACTTCATCTAGAAGAACGTAGAACTTCCGCTGAGGATATGTACTGCTGAGTACTGCTGATTGGTGTTTCAAAGCAGAAGGAATTGTATATTTCTCTCCATATCACAGCGATTACATAATCAATCATTTATGGTTGTATCCTTTTTATAGGTAAGATTGTTAAGTGGTATATGTTCAAGCATTATTTACCCTAAAATCTTACAGAATCTTAATCTTAAGTCCTCCCATCAGATGAGCGTCTACAGATAAGTCCGCTTTTTTGACTCAGAAAAAGCCCTTTAGATAAGTCCGCCTTCAGATAAGTCCGCTTTCTTTCCGTTATAACTACCCTGAAATTTTCAGATAATAAGTCCGGTCTTATCTGTAGGCGGACTTATCTGATAGGAGGACTTATCTGCAAGATTCTTGGCGGTGTGAGGGTGCGTTTCCATCGATTTTTCTCGTTAAAGCAAGCGGACTTATCTTTAAGATTGTAGGGCTTGTTAGGCACCCTCTACTCTCCTACCACATTCTCTCGCTGGGAAACGTCATGTATCTCATTGTCAGAAAGTGCATGACCTCTGGTCGTGCGCAAACTAACTAGCCACCTATGACTTGTAATGAAAGTGAGGAACCGGGGTACCAGTCATCTTAAAACAGTTTTGAGGCTTCGAGCATATCTTTGTTGCAGACAAATAATCGAACAAATCATCGGATTATTTGAGGGCACTGTTATAACATTACAAGAAGAACTTCGTCTTCCTGTGAAATTAGTGGTTTTGAAGGGGTTCTAGTTTTGAACGTTTTTTTTTCATTTTTGCCGAACTGCGGAATTCTCTCTGTGAGACGAATCACCCATTACAACATAATGGTGTTGCAGCACAGAATAAACAGACCAGCAATAGCCGGTTTGTTTAGCAATGAATATGGTACATAAGTAAGTAATCTCACCGTAACAAACTTCGACGCAGTTTTCAAATAAAGTTAAATTGAAGCACATTCTATCGGTCTAAACAAATGACGAGGGCGTCGGTCGCCAGCTATCTTGAACCCAGTTTTTAGGCTGCGTTCATACTAATCGGAATTCATACTGTTCCTAAACACTTCCAGCATAGCGCTTAAAATGAGCGCTGTGCTGGAACTTTTCCCGGACTTTGGGATCAGTATGAACGCAGCCTTGTAAAATTCGGAAAACAACATGATTCTCGCTTGATTTCTAGGTCTGAAAGTCATTCGATTTTGTTCACTTGACATTGGCCGATTTGATCAATTGTTTATCGTAATAGGTACGATTCAATTGAACTTCTGGTTAATTACATTCTGATACTATTTGTCTGAGCAGGCGATTGATCGAATGTGTTCTGTGATTATTTAATGATTCCAAGACTTTTCAGGCCTCGTTCTACTTTACTAATTGAAGACCAGGTCGAAAACAAATAGAGCAATTTTTGTTCATGTTTGATGGCGAGCACTTTTGTTAACCCGAATCTACCTCGCACTCTTCAAAAATTTTGCAATTAAAAGATCTATACATTTTGATATTCACCAACGCCATGCGATGTCTTTACATCAACTGCTGAGAATCCCAAATTGCTGGTGCAATTTTTACTTTTGAGTGAAGATATGGATTTTAGCAGAGTTATTCAAAAATTGTGAAAAATGTCGAGAAAACGAAAAAACAGGAATGCAACAAAGTGTTTGCTCTGCCTGCCTATTATCTGTTTCCAAAAATAATTTAAAATTTTTGATTAAATAACTGTGGAAATTTGGTGGAGGTTGACACATTTGTCACTCTGCGCTGGAGTTACGGCTGTTTTCTGTACACAGTGCTACAAATAAACGTAGCTCTAATTGGTAGAAAAAGCGGTATAAGATGTTAGTCGTTGACTATACGAGCAGTGTTTTCAGCATAGATAGAAGAAAATTCTTCTGCTATCTATAAAGTCTCTTCATACGTATATTTCCCAAAAAATATTTTCTCATTACAAATGAGTGCAATTTTTACTTGATGAGCGCCTATTCAACGATCCTTTTTCCATTTATGCGACAATTGGATGTTTGCATTCTCGAATGACAAGTTCGCAAATTGAATACGAGCATTTGCTCAAATTATGTTTCTCAATACCGATTCAACCATAATTTTATAGATAAAGCATTTCCTTAGTATTCACTTCCTCTACACTACATGGCAAGAAACTGCTCGCACCAATCTAAGCAACCCACCCCGATACACCAGTTTATAAAAAGAAGTCAGTCAATAGAACCGAAACTCCAGCGGAGGAGATATCCTGTTCCACAACCGTTTACTTATCATTAGAAGCTTTACGTTCGGATTAGAATCCCGCGCGACCACCAATGCGGGAAGGAGGGGTATCAAGTCCAGTAATTTTTCCTTTTGCCTGCTTGCAGCATTACCTTGGGGTGGCAAAAAGATGGGAAACTGCAGCTTTTGACGAAAAGAAGAACATAACCCAGACCATGATTTTTTTTTCAAATTTCGCATTTGGAAAGATGGCATGAAATTGTCTTGGGCTCCGTACCAATTGGACCGCTAAATAATTTTATTTCACATGGATTGTGAGCATTATGAATTCAAAAATCCATAAAATGACCGCAGCTTTCTTCTTGAAGAATATTGTCACAAGAGCTTAACATGTCCCCGACCCTTGTTTGTCTATGACTTATGAACTGAAGAAAAACGCTGCTGGAACGAGTGCGGTTGGCGACGGCCAGAGCCAGTCTGAGGTTTGAGATGTGTGTGTGGGAGGAGGAGCAGCCTGGCAGTCGCCGATTGATTTTGGACGACAAGATATATTGAAATGCGTCCCTTTGCTCTCCTCTCTCTTGATTCTTCTTCGCTTTGTCCACAACTTCGTAATCTTCAACTGTTGCATTTACCCGGGTTTTCGGCCGTGTCTGCATTTTGTTCGATTCTCTCAAATCTAATTTATATCGAATGTTATTTGTTTGGATGAGTTCGTACTGAGTTTTACACGGACATTAGAATGTGAATTGCAAAATAGTGCAATTTTTGCCAACAGTAACTTTCTTATGCGGATTAGGGTTTCTGTGGCTGGACGTTGGAACTTTAAAAATCTTGTTTTTAAGATCTTAATCACAAAAAGACAAGATTCCAAGTTCTTATTAATATATAGCTCGTTGCTATCGAGACATGACTAACTGAATAAGCCATTCTCATCTAATCTCTAACTGAATTGGTTACAAACATACTTCATGTGCTGGCTCTAAACAAAAGGCTGTCGATTTTTCTCATGCAAATAGTTTTTCTCGAGCTCGGCGTTCTAGCAATGGATTCTCTAGAAATTCTCTGTGAAATGTCAGCTCGATGAATAAATTTACTCTTGGCTCTGGCTAATTCAAAGATAGAGACAAATGCAAGTTCGTAGACAAATCTTTTTTCAACTTTTTGATAATACAACAGGGCAGTCATACAATTATCGCATGATGCCGAAGAAAAAAGCACGAGTTTTGACTTGATTTCTTTTAGACTTCTGCATGGTTTTTGCACCAAAATTACCGAAATTCTGTTACTTTTTCTGACTCCAATAACCTCTGATCTGATAGCTAGTAGAGAGAGAGAAATCTTGCACTTTTAAGATTGCTTGATTTGAAATCCCTTGAAGGCATATGGGTAAGCTGCTCAAGAGAATTACCTAAAAGTTGTTTTTCGGTCTTTGCTTGCTAAAATTGCTACGTCTACTAAAATTCTTATAGATCTCCGGTCCTGGTTTTATAACCTACTTTTTTTGACTAAGAGAAGTTGGTAGCGACTGGATGTCTCTAGAAATCGCTATGGTTTTCGGTTTTTTAAATCGACTTATTGATTTCGTTTTATGATTTTTTAGAATGTACTATAAAATACTGCTTATATTTATACATGACAAAGTGCATATTGTGCGAATTCACTATTTTGTTTAAGCATTTTTGAGATGATTTTTATCTATTTGGTCTGTGCATCAACTTATTAGTTCTGCTCTCGAAATCTGCATTAGCACAATCTTTCAGAACTACATGAAATGGCTCTTTGTTGTTCCATTGTGTAACGAAGTTTTTTTGTCTATAGGCGAATTTTATAAAGTTGCAGCGATTACCTCGGGAAGAGAATTCTATCTCAAAAAATCCACTTTCTCTTCATCCCCATTAGCTTCCACCGAAAGTGCTTGCAATCAAATTCGAAAGTCACGCATTAGGGTAGTCTCGTTGCTACGGTAGTACATATAACCGCATATTTATATAAGCAAAGGCCCCTTTATTAAATTTTTCTTTCTTGGAAACTAATAAAACTGTTTCTTTCCCCCAAGTCACAGATTTTAGCTTCCGAAGTTTGAAGAAAACTTGATCTTCAATATGACGATGGCGGTGCAACGGGCATTGTTGCTATTTTAAAGTAGCGGATACATGATATTTTTATATAGTGTCTGAGAATTTAATGGAAGCTTT